AGTGTCAGAAGGTGTCATACTGGTTTTGTTTAAATCAAGAAGGTGCTAAAAGGAGGCAATTGGGGAAAAAAGTCACTACTGGGTATCGGCACATGCATGAGCCGGCAGGGCCAGGAAGGAGGGAGGGTAAGGTATTTCCATCCAGACCCTCAACTCACCCTCTCCCTCCTCCTTTGTCTCTTTGGGCTAGTGGCCTAAGGCTTCCAGTCCCCCTCCCCCTTTTTTTGTGAGACAGTCTCATTCTGTCTCCCAGACTGGAGTGCAATGGGGTGATCTTGGCTCACTGCAACCTCCACCTCCCGGGTTCTGGCAATTTTCCTGCCTAAACCTCCTACAGAGGCACCTGCCACTACACCCAGCTAATTTTTGTATTTTTAGTAGAAACAGGGTTTCACCATGTTGGTCAGGCTGGTCTCAAACTCCTGACCTCAGGTGATGCACCTGCCTCAGCCTCTCAAAGTGCTGGGATTACAGGTGTGAGCCACCGTGCCTGGCCTCTAGTCCCTTCTTTTGGCCTCTGGTTATAAAGGTAATTGTAACCATAAAATATCCAGGATATAAGTTTCCTTTGCCCACTGGTACTTTTGACTTGGGTCATCCATTTTTTCGTGTGTTCTGTGTCTTTGTAGCCTATATCCTGTGACAGTTATTCAAAGATTCACACAATATCCATTCTCTCATTTCTTATGACCAAATTTAACTTTAACCTTTTCTAACTTTGCAATAACAGAAAATCAGAATGATTTATCTTTCTTTCTGTCTCTCAGTAACTCATATGCACACGTGCGCGCGCACACACACACACACACACACACATACATTATCTAGAAAATGTTCATCTAGCTCAGGTTTCTGGCCCTTAACTGAATTCGTGAGTGGTGTAAGAATGTGTTTTCTTGGTCTTGTGTTATGTTTAAGGCAACATGTCTCCATCTGATCAGGGTTATGCCTCTACAAATGTTGGATTTATGTAAGTGCCACTCTGTCTCCAACCAGTACAGCACACGATTTAGCTGTAGTTCAGTGATGTTATTTTGGAGAACTGCATGAGCTCTAACTACAGAATTTAAGAAAATCTATATTAAAGGAGAAAAACAAGCATCAGTGCTGACTTTTTAAAAAAGTATTTATTTCAAAATAAGTGCAGACTCCACAGGGAGTTGCAAAAATAGGAAATAAGAGTTTGTTGAGCCCTCACCTGACTTCCTCCAGTGCTGATGTCTTTTATAACTCTGGTGCAACATGAGAACCAAGGACCAAGAAATTCACACCACTACATTCCTGTGAACTGGAGTACAATCTTATTCAGTGTTCACCTTTTTCACCCTGCATTAATGTGTGAGTGTGTGTGTGTCTGTGTGAGTGTGTGTGTGTGTCTCTGTGTGTGTGTGTGTGTGTGTGTGCATGTGTGTGTGTGTACTTGTATGCGATTTTACCCTATGTACAGATTTATGTAATGTCATGATCAAGACATGAAGCCATTCTGTCATCTCTGGGGAACTTTCTCATACCCATTTTATCCAGACTCACCCATCCACCCATCCCTATAACCATAACCATCTCTATAGTCTTGTCATTTTGAGGATATTTTTAAACAGGCTTATACCATATTAAAAAGCCATTTCAGGCCATGCGTGGTGGCTCATGCCTGTAATCCCAGCACTTCGGGAGGCTGAGGCAGGCAGATCATGAGGTCAAGAGATTGAGACCATCCTGGCCAACATGGTGAAACCCTGTTTCTACTAAAATACAAAAATTAGCTGGGTGTGGTGGTGCATACCTGTAGTCCCAGCTACTCGGGTGGCTGAGGCAGGAGAATCGCTTTAACTGAGGAGGCAAAGGTTGCAGTGAGCTGAAATCTCGCCACTGCACTCCAGCTTGGTGATAGAGTGAGACTCTGTCAAAAAAATTCAAATTGGCTGTTTTTACTAAGTATAATACCCTTAAGATCCATCCAAGCTACTGCATGTTTCAATAGTTTTCATTGCTGAGTAGCATTTTCTTTTATGAATGAACCAGAGTTTGTTCAGCCCTTCACCCTTTGAAGGACATTTGGATTGTTTCCACTGTTTGGGTATTATGAATAAAATCGCTGTGAGTGTTCAGCACAAGCTTGTGTGTGAATATAACTTTCCATTTCACTACTAGTCGTATTGTTAGTTCACGTCTATTTGTTGTCGTTCTTTTATTGAGATGGAGTCTGGCTGCGCTGCCCAGGCTGGAGTACAGTGGCACAATCTCAACTCACTGAAACCTCCACCTCTCAGGCTCAAGAGATTCTCCTGCCTCAGCCTCCCGGGTAGTTGGGACTACATGTGCTTACCACCATGCCCAGTTAATTTTTGTATTTTTAGTAGAGACAGGGTTTCGCCATGTCCTGACCTCGAAGAATCTGCCTGCCTCAGCCTCCCAAAGTTCTGGGATTATAGGCATGAGCCATTATGCTTGGTTGTACATGCCTAGTTATTAAAGAAACTTATTTTACAGAGTGGTTATACCATTTTACATTTCCACTAGCTATGTATGAGAATTCCGGTTTCTCAACATCCTTGCCAAGATTTGATGTTATGCCTAATCTTATATTTTTGTAAATTTATTTGTTTTTCTTTGCTCTCTTACCCAGGCTGGAGTATAGTGGCGTGACCTCAGCTCACTGCAACCTCTGCCTCCCTCCTTGAAGTGATTCTCCTGCCTCAGCCTCCCAAGTAGCTGGAATTACAGGTATGTGCCACCACACCTGGCTAACTTTTTTGTATTTTAGTAGAGACAAGGTTTTGCCATGTTGGCCAGGCTGGTCTCAAACTCCTGACCTATATGATTGACCTGCCTTGGTCTCCCAAAGTGCTAGAACGATAGATGTGAGCCACCAGGCCCAGCCCCTATTTTAGCCATTCTAATAGGTATGTAGTATCTCACTGTGATTTAGACTTGCATTTCCTTAATGGCAGTGACGTTAAATATGTTTTCATGTGCTTCTTTGCCATCTGTATCTCCTCTCCAGTGAAATGTAAAGTTTGTATCTTTTGTGCATTTTCTAATTGGATTCTTTGGTTTGGTTTTGTCATTGTTTTACTGTTGAGTTTCAAGTATTCTTTACGTATTCTAGATACAAGCCTTTTTCATATGTGTGGTTTGCAAATATTTTTCTCTCCATTTTTAGCATGTCTTTTCATCCTCTTACCAGGGTCTTTAAAGCCACAAAAAGTTTTAATTTTGGCCAGGCATGGCAGCACATACCTGTAATCCCAGCACTTTGGGAGGTTGAGGCGGCTGGATAACCTGAGGTCAGGAGTTTGAGACCAGTCTGCCTAACATGGCAAAACCCATTCTCTACTAGAAATACAAAAAAAGAAAGAAGAAAAGAAAGAAAGAAAGAAGAAAAGAAAGAAAGAAAGAGAAAGAAAGAAAAAGAAAGAAAGAAAGAAAGAAAGAAAGAAAGAAAGAAAGAAAGAAAGAAAGAAGGAAGGAAGAAAGGAGGGAGGGAGGGAGGGAGGAGAGGAAGAGGAAGAGAAGAAGAAGAAGACAAAGAAGAAGGAGGAGGAGGAGGAGGAGGAGAAGGAGGAGGAGGAGGAGGAAGAACAGAGGCCTTGGAAACAATGTCACACATCTACAACAATCTGATCTTTGACAAACCTGACAAAAACAAGCAATGGGGAAAGGATTCCCTGTTTAATAAATGGTGTTGGGAAAACTGGCTAGCCACATGCAGGAAGCTGAAACTAGATCCCTTCCTGACAACTTACACTAAAATTAACTCCAGATGGATTAAAGATTTAAACATAAGACCTAACACCATAAAAACCCTGAAGAAAACCTAGACAAAACCATTCAGGACATAGGCATAGGCAAGGACTTCATGACTAAAACACCAAAAGCATTGGCAACAAAAGCCAGAATAGACAAATGGGACCTAATTAAACTCCAGAGCTTCTATACAGCAAAAGAAACAATCAGTAGAGTGAACCAGCAACCAACAGAATGGGAAAAAAATTTTGCAATCTACCCATTTGACAAAGAGCTAATATACGAATCTACAAAGAACTAAAACAGATTTACAAGAAAAAAACAAACCCATTCAAAAGTGGGCAAAGGATATGAACAGACACTTTCAAAAGAAGACATACATGAAGCCAAGAAACATGAAAAAATGCTCATCATCACTGGTCATTAGAGAAATGCAAATCAAAACCACATTGAGATACCATCTCACGCCAGTTAGAATGGCGATCATTAAAAAGTCTGGAAACAACAGATGCTGGAGAGGATGTGGAGAAATAGGAACACTTTTACACTGCTGGTGGGAGTGTAAATTAGTTCAACCATTGTGGAAGACAGTGTGGCCGTTCCTCAAGGATCTAGAAATAGAAATTCCATTTGACCCAGCAATCCCATTACTGAGTATATATCCAAAGGATTATAAATCATTCTATTATAAGGACATATGCATACGTGCATTGCAGCACTGTTTACAATAGCAAAGACTTGGAACCAACCCAAATGCCCATCGACGATAGACTGGACAGGGAAAATGTGGCACATAATCACCATGTAATACTAGGCAGCCATAAAAAACGGTGAGTTCATGTTCTTTGTAGGGACATGGATGAATCCGGAAACCATCATTCTCAGCAAACTGACACAAGAACAGAAAATCAAACACCACATGTTCTCACTCATAGGCGAGTGTTGAACAATGAGAACACATGGACACAGGGAGGGGAGCATCACACATTGAGGTCTGTAGAGGAGGGACAGTCGGGGGTAGGGAGTTGGGGAGGGATAATATGGAGAGAAATGCCAGATGTAGGTGATGGGGATGGAGGCAGCAAACCACATTGCCATGTATGTACCTATGCAACAATCCTGCATGTTCTTTACATGTACCCCAGAACCTAAAATGTAATTTTATATATATTTTAATAAATAAATAAAAATAAAATGGAAAAAAAAAAGAAAATGGGGTGTGGGTTTCATAAGGGGCTCACTGCTTGGGGTCTTACCCAGGTACAGCCAGTGGTGGGGCTGTTATTTTCCACTGGCAGCTGCACTAGGCTGGCCACACCTGGCACCTCTGGCGTGGTGGCTGGGGATGCCCCAGGAATGAGGTCTTCAGGTGCCTCGTCATGTGTACCAGATACCAAGTGCCTGCTGTAGGGGAGGGTGGCGGAGATCCTGAGGTTCAGTGTTCAGGAGGATTAGCCAGTTTGCCAGACAAGCTTAGAGCATCCTGCCCTGTGGGGTAAAAGGTACGAACTGTCACCCTTTGCTGCTGGCTCCTTTGCCAGGATCCCTTCCCAGCACAAGTGCACACAGTCCCCTCCAGCACTGCGGGGACACAGCCCTGCAACTTACTGCGGGCTCCACCCACCTCTTCCCTACAACCCCCACTCTTATTTGGGGCTGTAAAAGTAGGAAACACTCCCATACAAACCCAAATTGCTTTTTCTACTCTCCCACCTCACAACAATCAACATGGAAGACTTCTGTGGCCAAATATGCGGGGATTTCTCCCCAACAATAAACAAGCAATCGGTTCTGCTGGGGACAATTCTAGTACTGTTCACCTGGAGACAGAATCAGATCCCAGACGGTGAGGGCTCCGGGCTCCGGGCTCCGGGCCCAAGACTCCCTCCCTCCCAGCCCTGCTAGATACCAGGAGCAAGTCCAGGCCTCCAGAACTCCTGACTGACTGGCTTCAAGTTGGGGCTCCCATGGCTCCTCTTTTGATTAATTTCCTGGAGCAGCTCATAGAACTCAGAGAAACACTTAACTTACCTTTAGTGGTTGATTACAAAGGATACAAACAAAGAGATGCGGAGGGTGAGGTGTGGGAGAGGGAGCACGAAGCTTCTATGGAACCACACTCCAAGAAGCTCCTCATGTTCAGCCATCCAAAAGCTCCTCGCATCCAGTCCTTTGGGTTTTTATTGAAGCTTCATGACTGATTAAACCACTGGCGATTGGTGATCAACTCACCCTCCGGGTTGTGGGGTGCGGCTGAAAGTCCTAACCCTCTAATCCTGCCTAGGCATTTCTCGTAACCAGCCCCATCCTGAAGCTCCCTAGGGGCTGCCAGCCAGCAGTCAATTCATTTGTGTACAAAAAGACATCGCTGTGGAGTTGCTAGGATTTCAGGAGTTGTGTGCCAGGAAACAGGGTTCACAATATATCACAGGGGACATGCTGGGGCTCCTGTGAGCCTGGGACACCCAGTCTTGTCCATAGAGTGCTCGGGAACCCTGCACTGTAGGGTGGGATGTGCACCCCGGGTGTAGGACAGAAGACGAAGAGGACGTGGAGGAGCGTGGAAGTGCGGCAGGACTGGGCCATGACCACCCATTCTCCTGCCAAGGAATAGTGAGAGAGAAGGCTGCCCAGGGCACAGCCATAGCATGCCTACGAGGTCCATGGAAGCAGATCCCTGTGAGTTCAGGACATCTGAGACTGATCATTGGAGCCCCAGCCATGCACTGCTGACGATGTGAGACCACAGCCTATCCAGGAATCGAAACAGAGGTGTCTGCTCCAGCCACTTGTGATTTACAGGCTTTAATTGCAGATCTGCTCCTATCTTATAAAATCAGGATGGAGTCACCACTGCTGAGGCAGGGAAAAGATCTGTCTAAAATATTGGCTGCTGTCGTCAATACTGGGACCTCTTAAGCCAGGTCTCTTCCACATTCTGATGAGGTAAGGCTGCTCTGGAAGAAAAAGGCCTCCAGAACATAAATCTATTTGACACCAAATGTCTCTTTCTCTCGGTGAGCCAAACCCCTCTATGCAGGAGCCAGAGATACTGACACAGAAAAAAAGGAGCTGGTTCTGTCTTCAAGGACAGAAAGAAAGAGAAACTCCATCTGGTGCTAAAGCAGGCCCTCTCTGCAGCTCCTTCCAAGCCCAAACCAGCTACCACAACTCTCACCAAATCTGTAGCTCTTCACGGGGATGGAAAAGCAATCTCGTGTCACGTGTGGCCATTGGGATGATTTCCTCCTGCCCTCGTGCCTGCTGTGGATGAAGGGCGCTCCCCCATGCTGTTACTGCTGCTTTGGCCAATGGAGCATTAGCAGTGAGGTGTGAGCAAAGGCCTAGAATGGGCCCTTGACCATGAGAATACATCCAGGTGCTGCTGATCCAAGGAGGAAGAGCCCATGGGGCGCATCAGAGGCCACCCTGCAACTCAGAGGCCAGTGCAGCTGCGCCCAGTGACCTGCACAGCTGTGCGTGAAGAATGAACACTGGTTGCTACAAGCCACTGAAATTGTGGCGTTGTCTGTTACACAGCATGATTGTGCCAAAAGTCCATCAGCACATCCAGGACTGTAGAAAAACAAGACGCTGACACAATGCTACCATCTCAGATTAATCTGAAAAACAACCCTGATGCCAACATACTTGTTTTTCTCTCGCATCTTCAAATTGTATTATTCCCTCAGTCTGTGAGCCAGGGGTTATTTTATTTTTAAAGCTTGCTGCCTCCTCAGTATATATAATTTGACCCTAATTTTGTAAGACATGAATATATATAAATATATTCCAGAGATGAGACTGAAATGCTCAAGATGGTGACAGCAGTATTTCTGGGTTGAGAGATTTAGAGTGACTTATGTTCCGCTGAAAACATTTCTATATTTGTTCACATTTTCTATAAGTAATTATTTTATAATCAGCTATACATAATGATTTTTGAATAGATAAGGCTTAACATAAACATAGTTCAAACATAAAGTTTACTTCCCCAGAGACTTTGTTCAGAATGTCAAACACGCAGGCCAGGAAGGTAAGTAAATCCTTACACAAAAGGACTGTTCACCCTGGGGAGGGAGGGAACTGCCAGGAATCCAGCACAGGGATCCTCAGATGCTGTTGGCCTCTTCTGCTGAGAAACTGATGGGAGAAAAGATTTGTCCTTGAGAAAGTTGGCCCCTGATTAAACGTTACTATGCACTGAGACGTCGGTAAATCATTTCCACAACCCCAAACATTGAAATAGTGGGAGGTGGCAATGACCCCTTGGGTGATTTTTCACCTGGGAGGACGTCATAAAGGTAAAGATGAGCACTAGGGTTCAAACGTGCTTGTACTGGGGACACCTGCAGTGAGCAGAGAGTGGGGCACACACCTCCCTAGACTCATTTCTCAGAAACACAACAGGTCACCCACTTTCTCTCCAAAAGCAGAAAGTAAAGTCAGATTGAGCTCGTGTTCCCTTGTCCCTGAAAATGCCTAACTGGATGTGTGAGGTTATGACAGATTTAGAACCCACCAAAATCAGAGCGAGTGTCCTTGCTGGGCTAGGACATACTCTACTTCTCTGATGTGGAATAAGATGAAAATTTCATAACCTCAAGGGACAGAGAACATTGCCCACTGCAGACAGTAATATCCAGGGGCATCTTTCAGGGTTCTCAGGTGGGCAAAACCACAATGGGTCATGGGATGAGTGATCTATTATGGGTACGAGACCTTGCCAGTTGTGGAGGTGTGAGAGGGAAGCTAGCAGAGCGGAGGAATCACCAACTAGCCGACCTGAGAAGTCAAGCTCGTCACGCTGCCAAAACTACTCCGTGAAGGCAGAGGAGATGTCCACAGCGAGCTATTTCTTCTGTGAGTTTTCAGCCAAGCACCTGAAGATGATCTAGAGCTATCTGTTGGTCAGGAGGATGCCCCACAGTGAAGAAGACCAAATGGACAAGGAGTGCAAGGACACTCAGGAGGTTGTGGCACCTCCAAGTGTGTCTGTCACTACATCTAACTGCGCTGACCTTCAGAGGGTAATGGCTGCTGCCCACTGATCAGAATTGGCTCAGTCCTTTCTGTAAGGAAAGAAGGGGAAAGGGAAATTGAAAGGGAATCTGGCCTTGTCAGTTTCTATGGCAAGGCTCTGCCAGCACAACATGGTGGCCATGGGCCAGGCAGCCCAGAGTGCCTGCTGCAGAGCCAGCTCTTCTAGCTAAAAGTTTCTGCACCTCGGCACTGCTGACGCTTCCAGCAGGCGATCACTGCGGGCTTACCCTGAACATCCCTGGCCTCTACCCAAAGGATACCAAGGGCATAGTCCCTGCAAGTCATAAACAAAACCATCCCCAGACATTGGCAAATGTCCCCAGAGTGGTGGCAGACAACGATCCGGCCAGCTGAGAACCGCTGACTTACCGTCTGCATCTCAGAGCACTGAAACAAGGTCTTAGAAAATAATGAAGCTTATTCACTTACCTTGTGCTCACTAAAAAACATTGTTTTAAAAAGTTTTAGTAGGAATAGAAAGGGTTTCTGGGTGATTAATGAACAACTAAAGGGGGATGGGTTCATGCCTATAATCCCAGCACTTTGGGAGGCCGAGGCAGGAGGATCACAAGGTCAGGGGATCGAGACCATCCTGGCTAACACAGAGAAACCCCAACTCTACTAAAAAACATAAAAAAAATTAGCTGAGCACAGTGGCACACGCCTGTAGTCCCAGCTACTCAGGAGGCTGAGGCAGTAGAATCACTTGAACCCAGGGACCCAAGATTGCGCCACTGTACTCCAGCCTGGGCAACAGAGCGAAACTTCATACCAAAAAAATTAAAATTGGGGAGCCTGAAGCAGGGGGATCACCTCAGGCCAGGAGTTTGAGACTAGCCTAGGCAAGACCCCACCTCTTCTCATATTTTGTGTGTGTGTGTGTGTGTGTGTGTGTGTGTGTGTGTGTGTGATGGAGTCTTGCTCTGTGCCAGACTGGAGTGCAGTGGCGCGATCTCAGCTCACTGCAACCTCCACCTCCTCGGTTCAAGCAATTCTCCTGCCTCAGCCTCCTAAGTAGATGGGATTATAGGCATGCACCACTGCGCTCAGCTAATTTTATTATTATTTTGTATTTTTAGTAGAGATAGGGTTTCACCCTGTTGGTCAGGCTAGTCTCAAACTCCTGACCTAGTGATACACCTACCTCGGCCTCCCAAAGTGCTGGGATTACAGGCGTGAGCCATTGTGCCTGGCTGCAAGACCCCATCTCTACAAAAAGTGTACAAATTAGCCGGGCATGGCTGTTGTCTAGCATGTAAATAAATCCAGTGTTCTATTTTTCCATCTCTGTGGCACTCATTGCCTTTTCTTTAACAATCCTGGAAGTTCTACTAAGATTGCCTTGTCGATCCTCCTTGTCTGGAGCAGTGGACAACCCAATCTGAGGCGTGTTGGCCATCAGCTCAAAGGGCTAAGCCCACAGCCAGGGTCTCTGCTGCTTTTTGTGGTGAGTCACTCAACAGCAATAATGCCTTTCTTGTTTGTGGAGTTACAACCTGAGTCTCCCGTCAGTAGTTTCCAATCCATGACTCAGAGTGTGAGACTTTGTTGGGATGCTAAAGTGGTTTGTTGAGTTTTCAACCTTGATTTGTAACTTATCTATTAATTCTCTTTTGAAAGAAATCTTTGTCGTGGAGGAGTAAATAAGCTACTGAGCTTTGTTGTGGAGGAGTAAATAAGCTACTGAGCAACTGATTCAAATTCTATCTGCAGAGTCCTGCAGCTCTCTCAATTTCTGCCTTTTCTGTCTGTAATCTGTACTTCTCATTCAGATGATGTTGGGTCATGGAGACCAGTGCGCTCCAGAAAAAACTGACCCAGCCTTGACTCAATCTGAAAGTCTCTCTGTTACACAAAATTGTCACTTGCCCTACATTTTTCTTTTCTTTTTTGAGTTGGAGTTTTCCTCATTGCCCAGAATGGAGTGCAATGGCACGATCTCGGCTCACCACAATCTCTGCCTCCCAGGTTCAAGCGATTCTCCTGCCTCAGCCTCCCAAGTAGATGAGATTACAGGTATGCACCACTATGCCTGGCTAATTTTTCTCTCTTTTTTTTGTATTTTTAGTAGAGAATGGGTTTCTCCATGTTGGTCAGGCTGGTCTCAAACTCCTGACCTCAGGTGATCTGCTCGCCTAGGCTTCCCAAAGTGCTGGGATTACAGGCATGAGCCACCACGACCAGCCCATTTGCCACACTTATATCACAATTACCTCTGGGTTTGTCTCTCTCTGTCTTGTAAAGTTTGTGGTTGAAGCATATATGCAGGAGTCAGACATAACAATTAAAATGGTAAATTTTATGTTTTATATATATATTTTATCAATAGAAAATAAGTCAAATGCTGGCTGTACAAACTAAAAATAAGAAGTTAGACATCGACTTATGAGATGCAGTTAGGGCAGTGCTTAGAGATAAATTTATAACTGTAAAAATCTGTGATAACAAAGAAAAAAGATCTCAAATCAACAACTTAACCTTCCACAGTAAGACACTGGAAGAACAACAAGCCAAACCTAAAGCAAGTGTGAGAAAGGAGATAAGAACTAGAGGGGAATGTAATGAAATAGCGAGTCGAAAAACAATAGAGAATATCAACAAAATCAAAAGTTGGTTCTTCTAAAAGATCAACAAAGTTGACCAACCTTCACCTAGGCTGACTGACAAAAAAGAGAGAAGAATCAAATTACTAACATCAGAAATGAATGAGAGGCCATTGCTACCAACTTACAGAAGTAAAAAAGAATTGTGACGGAAACCATGGACATCTGTATGCCAATAAATTAGATAACTTAGATGAAATGGACAAATTACTAAAAAGACACAAACTCCAAAACTGATTCTAGGAAAAAGAGAAGATGTAAATAGACATAGAAAAGGGATTAAATTAGTAATAAAAGAAAAAATCTAGGCCAGGTGCAGTGGTATAAGCTTGTAATCCCAGCACTTTGGGAAGCTAAGGTGAGTGGATGGTTTGAACTCAGAAGCTTGAGACTAGCCTGGGCAACATGGTGAAATCCCATCTCTACAAAAAAAAAAAGAAAGAAAAAGTGGTGTGTGCCTGTAGTCTCAGCTACTCTGGGAGATGGAGGTGGCAAGATCACTTGAGCTCAGGAGGTCCAGGCTGCAGTGAGACTGCACTCCGGTCTGGGTAACAGAGTGAGACCCTGTCTCAAAAAAAAAAAAAAAAAAAGGAAAAGAAAAGAAAAGAAAATTCTCACAAAGAAAAGCCCAGGATCAGATGGCTTCACTGGTGAATTCTACAAAACGCTTCATGAAGAATTAATACTGATCTTTCACAAAATCTTCCAAAAACTAGAAGAGAAGGCACACCTTCCAACTCATCCTATGAGCCTGATATTAGCCCAATACCAAAAACAAAGATATCACAAGGAAAGAAAACTATAGACCAACATATCTTATAGGTACAGATGCAAAAATCCTGAACAAACACTACCAAATTGAATCCAGCAATGTGTAAGAAGGATTTTACACCACAATCGAGTGGGATTTATCCCAGGAATGGACGGTTGGCTTAATATCTAACAATAGATTATTTTAACATATCACATTATTACAATAACAGAAAAAAATACAATAATCTTAACAGGTGTAAAAAAAGCAATTGGCAAAATTCAATATGTTTTCATAATTTAAAGAAAAACCTTTAAAAAACTAGCAATAGAAGTTTCTAAGCCTGATAAAAAGCGTCTATGGAAAACTTACAGCTACCGTCACACTTAGTAGAGGGACTGCCTACTTTTCCGCTAAGATCAAGATGTCTGTTCTTGCCAGCTCCACTCAATATTGTACTAGAAGTTCTAGCCAGGGAAATTAGGCAAGAAAATAAAACAAAAGCCACCAAAATTGGAAAGAAAAAATAAAATCATCACTATTTGCAGATTATGTAATTCTGTATAAAGAAAATCCTAAGGAGTCTAAGAAAAACATTAAAATTAGAACTAATAAATGAGTTTAGCCAGCTTTCAGGATACAAAATCGGTAACAGAAAAAATCTGTTGTTATTTCTATACCTTAGTGATGCACAATCAAAAAATGAAATTAGAAAAACAGACTGGGCATGGTGGCTCATGCCTGTA